AATAATTTTACTATTATTAGAATTAGAAAGACCTACTCTACAACTTTTATATAAGGATTAAAATTTATTTACTTAATTTATTTTTTCAAAAAATTAAATATAAAAAAACTGATAAAAATTTGCAACTAATTATATATAGAAATGATCAACGTTGTACTCTACCCTTAATAAGCGGTTAAAGGGATAAAGATTAATGATTAGTAAGGATAAATATTCATAAACAACAAAGCGGATAACTGATTCATAAACAGTTAACCGATTATTGGTCATGTAGCTCATAGTTAAGCGACGCGATTAACCGCTAGCTCAATTTTTCACGGTTCTAAACCCTAGCCCAGAGATCATTTTATTAATATAAATCTTGAGAACTAACAATATCCATGTATTTACACATAGTATACAAGTAGAAATTCTCAAAATAAAACCATATATTTTATCAAACTCCCTTAATATATATCCAAATATTTTGTATCAAGGAAAATTAGTTATCACAGTAAGTAAATACAAAATAAAATGGATATGGCTAAAGGTAATCTAATGAGAGAATATAACCTAGAATCAATTTGATTTGCTTGAGAGTTATTATTAATACAGGTACTACCATATGAACAGTTATTAACTTGTTTAGGAGATTGAGGAGAAGGATTATTACTATTAGGATTACTATTAGGACTATTACTGGTAGTAGGTGTATTAAATGGATAATTTGGATCTTTTCCTAATGTACATACAGTCAACACGCTAGTATCACCACACACAATCCAAGTGCTATGAGCATCACCAAGTTCTCTGCATTGCTTCCAATTCCAATATGAACTATCATATGGCCCGTTGCAATCAACGAAGCAGCTGGTAATATTAGTTACTCCAGGGCATTTGTTGGCCATATAGGACTGAACTTCTGACAATCCAGCACTGGTGCCATCACCGACTCCAACTGCGACAGAACCACCAGCCATTACACACATCAACACCTGGCAACTTTTGTCTTGTGCTGTAACACCAATTATTGAGAAACATAGGGAAATCATTAATATACCAAAAATCCTATAGCCATCTTGTAAAATCTTTCTTCCAAGACATAAGTTTTTGATAAGATTCATTATCATTATTAAAATATAGAGGTAAAATTTGGAAAAAAGAGATAGAAATAAACAAGACAGAACAACTGGTAATTTGATATTGACTAAACGCTTATGGCTGATTTAAAATAACCAATTTACTTAGGAAACGTTTAACAAAATTTCTGTAACTTTATAAACCAATTCATTTATCCAGATATGTGGTTGTATGAAATTATCATTAAAATTTTATATATCTTATGTCATATTGAAATAAAAAAATACTAATACTATTCAAAGAACACTATTTAATTGATAATATATTTAACATCGCAAGCAGTTAAAAATGCTTAATATAGTGATAATGTTCTGCGTCAATCACAATCAGAACCAGAAAATTTATTATATTGCAGAATGAATATATGGTTTACCGATTGCGAAATGAAATTGTTGTTTCCAAAACTTTCTCTGCATTGAGTCTACTTAACCAAAGAGTGTTATACCATGAATGGGATAATCTATAAGTGTACGATTGACGGTTTGATGCTAAACGAAATTTAGTAATCGATAATTATTGCGATATTTCTTAATTGAGCAATGATTAAAAGATAAACGTGCTTTGGTATGGAACATCATAGGTACACAAAGTGATACATTTTGTAATTTAGTGATTTAGCGTTTGTGTTTTAGTGTCATAATGTTTGTTTTAATGTTTTAGCGTTTTAATGTAAATTATTTCTATAATAGAAAGCATTTTTTCATTTAATATTAAATTCATTTAATATGTTAAAATATTAGAAATCTAGAACTCTATAATGCTAGGTCGCTAGTGTACTAGAATACTAGAATGATAGAGCACTAGAATACCAGATCATACAGTAGAGCACTAGAATACCAGATCATAGACAATAGAATACTAGGATAATAGAGCGCTAGAAAATTAAAACACTAAAACACTAGATCACTAAAACACTAGAACACTTAAACATAGATTGAATTAGTACATATTAGGTGTTTTTGTGTTTTTTTTTAGTATTTTACTATTTAGGTAATTTGTTCCAAAAATAGTATTATAATTTTGCGTAATCTTATGGGCGATTTTGTGATTATTAAAAATCATATGACGATATTTCATAAAATTTGATCCAATCATTTATGTGATACCAGAATTAAAACAGAAAATAATTGGCAGATCATTTTAATCATGAATTGCTTATCGTTATCGTTATGAAACTATTTTACGAATACGAATCGTATGAGTTTTTAGCCAGTCATAAAAATTATTTTATTACTATGTCACTTAATTTTAATAATCACAAATTCCCGTCAAAAAATTTCGCCATATGGATATCGGCAAAATGAACAAGATCCGTCAATGTTGCACAACTAATCCTTCTTACCTGGATACAATTTTGGATCACTCTGCCGTCAATGTTAGTAATACTGATCGGGAGATTAGATACCATATAATTTACTATCATAGTGCAGAACTATATGATTGGCTTATTAAGTAAGATTTTTTAAAAAAATTATCATAGTAATTTTATAATAAAAATCGTGTATTGTTAAAATGTTCTAACTCTTTTCTAATAAAACAAATCCAATTATGTGACTTGTAAATGGTGTATAAATATTGTGATTTTAAAACTATGTTATATTTAAAATTAAAATATGTAATTTTCGTCGGTCTCTATAACCTAATTGTTTAAATAATTAAATAGTATATTTTTACAATGTTCTAACTCTCTTTCTAGTAAAGCAAATTCAACTCTATAACTTGTAAATGGTCTATAAATATTGGTATTTTAAAACTGTGTGGTCATATATGATATTATTATGTAATTTTTAGTAGTTCTTCATAGCTTAATCATTAATTTATAATTTTAGTGATATTAATAAAATGAAAATGAAAAATTCCCATATGATTTTAAAAGCACACTATCTTTACATCATTTGCAAGCTATAGAATTAAAACTGCTTTACTAGAGCGGGAGAACATTTTAAAAATCCAGTTTTTATTATAAAATTACTATAATAATTTTTTTCAGTAAATTGACAAAATTTTAAAAAATCTTTGATAGTGGGCCAACCATATAGTGCTAAACTATGACAGTAAATAATTTGGTATCTAACATTCCAGTGGACATCTCTAACTACAAACCTGATATATATTGCAAGCGTGTATTCTAATAGCCTATTTAACGGATGTTTGATAAGTCCCTAGACAGGACCTTTCTGTTAATCACATTAATTATCAAAATTATTAAATTTTAGTAAAATAACCTATCTTAAACTCTTTATCCCCATTAAAAATACCCAATTTAGTGATTAACCAAAGTGTCCTGTCTAGGGCTTATCAGACATCCGGTATAATAACTAAAAATCTAATATTATAACATTAAACCCTTTTAGAAAATAATTTGTAACAATGAATCACTAGAACGCTAAATTATTAAGACAAAATCCCCTATTATTGGAACACTAGAACTAAAACACTAGAATTCTAAATCTCTAGAACCTAGATTGCTAAATCTCTGGAACACTAGATCATTAAATTATGGGACTGTAGAACATTAAATCATAAAAAATTTCATTTTTTGTACAGTCGGCTGCAAAAGCTTGGCATAAACATAAAAAACAAAAATTTATGCAAAAAAGCATAGATAATACAGTCAACTCTCTCTATGTGCAAATATTTGGGCCAAGAAAATAACTTGCATTGCGTTTATTATTGATTTTCTCCGAATGCAAGTTAATAAGTTAAAAAAACTCTTGCACTTAGAAAAGAACTTGTAGTTAAATAAATTAATTTAATTGGTTAATAAAAAATCTTGCATTTAGCGAGAACAATTATATATATATTTTTTATAAGCCTCGACTTGAGCCAAGACTATTTTATTGCATTTAGAGGACGTCAATTTGCATAGGTTTATGTTTTGTGTAACAATGTTAAACTTTCGAAACAGAATGTACAGTACCTATAACCTTCTTTAGCCATAATTTCCTTTATAACGCTAAAACATTAAAGTACTAACACAAGTTATGTTACTTCATGTACTTATAGTATTCCGTAGTGTATTTTTATTTTGGAAATGCCAAGCATTTCGGAGAAACGTATATTTGAATTGACATTAGTTTAGTTCTACAAAGACTTCATGTGATAGTGTTGTGTCATATGTACTGCATCATTTCTAATTAAAAATTGGTTATGTCATTTTGCAGTCGGTAACAAGATTTATTATTTTATTTAATGACAAAAAAATTTCTCTTGGTGTTACTATATTGGCTATTGAATTTTTTAATGCTGATTTTTCATATTTAAATAGTAATGAGAATTAATATATGTAGTCAGCTCTGGACATAACGATCATTTTTTGCAAAATTATTATAATATAAGAAATTTTCTATAAGGAACTTTTTAAACCATTTTATATATAGTGTGATTCCGGAATCGGCGAGTCTGTCGCTAAATTAATCCAACTCTCGCGTAACCTACGGCGGCTAAGTCGAAT